ATGCACGATTCTTACTGTAGTAGCCCGCTGAGTTTATGAGCATACCGCGCTTAGATTTGATTAGCCAACTTCAATGATCATTGTTACATGAATTATTAAACGTTTAAGAGCAAATAGGGCGATAGGATTCATTTTTTTAAAAAAATTTAATATATTAGCCTAAAATTTTGGGTCAGGTTCGGTTTGGGTTGAGGCTCTAACCCGAAAATTTTCAACCTGACCCGACCTGACTCGTTCGGAGCACTAATCAGAATCATGATTTTGTGGATGAACGCAAAGTTCATATTGGTATGTAAACCATACCTGATACACTATGTTTCTGGTATATTGGATATTCTATGATAGAATTGATGTGACTAGATGACTTGCATTATAAATATTAGAAATCAAATATTAAGTAATAAATTAAACTATAGTCCTGCATAAATTAAATAATATCACCCTATTAGAGTTCCGATATGATTGTATATGGGATGAGTTCCAAACCTAATTTTTACATATAGTGATTTGGGATTTTTAGCCGTAGTATTAGTTACATGTCAAAAACGTTTGACATTACAGCAAATTAGGGGCATTTTGTGTAACCTAGTAAATACTATTTGGGTTTCTACCTAATCCCAAACTAGTAGGTTTGGGGCGCAACCTTACCCCCCTACAGAGGGACGCCATATGGCGTTGATTTTCATATGCTCTTTTTTCAGACTAATATATAATTCTAGCATTTACTCGAGAGATTCACAAGCCAAAGAAGTTAATTTATATCATCGTAATTATAGATAAGAAAAAAAATTAGCGACACTAAAGAAACGCTTGTTATTTTTTACGGCTGCCATATTGATGTTGTTTATAGCATCAATAAATGATGCACTTACATACGTACGTACGCACGTGCATCATTTGTTGATCGATAGAAATTTAGAAATGGCACATATGGTTCCAAATTGCCGGGAATCGATAAATGACGCATAACAGTTACATTAGGGATGTTTGTTCTGTTTCAATTTTAAATTTATTATTTCGAAATTGACGTATGTTATTCGTAAATTTAAAAGTAACGATACTTATTTCATAATCGGTGAAATTTATCAAAAAGTATAAATTTACGTATACGCATTTTTATTATGCATAATATTTTTTTGGTCACATACTACTGTTACTATTAATTGGGAGAGTGGTTGAGTTAGCAGTTCGATTTAGCTCTAATAATAAACTTAAAAAGCTTTTTATGTATCGTTCTTCAAGCGTTGGGCACGTGAAATAAGTCACGATTTACGTAGATCCAGGTCGGGTCCTTACTAAATCGGTCTTGATTTGAGTTATGCACGTAATTTAAGGATATACTTAAAGGGTAAAATTGGGCTGACATAAATGTTAAGGTAAATACGAAACAATGAGAAAGTTCTATACTAGGGAATCGGGCAGATAACCGTATGATAATACGTACTATCACTTGGGTTTAACAATGGTGGTTATCTTAAAATATTAGGCTAACAATTAGGTAGCATTTATACTAATTTTAGGGTACTAACAATACGAGAGAAAGAAATAAAAAAATAAATAAATTCGTTCATTCAGTCAATAACAGTGTTTTTCAATAAATATGAGAAGTCAATTCTTATTCTAATTCATTAAAGACATCGAAGTCTGAGAAAACTTTATTAAGAGCGAACTCAGTCTTTAAATACATTTTGAGGTCTATGTCTACTGCGCACTCTATCTAATATCCTCCTTCATTTCTCACTATGTTCTTTTGCGGCTTATTCGCCTTCATATAATCCTCTACAATTTTGTCTACAATTTTGTTTACAAGTTTGTCTACAATTTTGTTTACAATTTTGCTTACAATTTTGTTTACAATTTTGTTTACAATTTTGTTTACAATTTTGTTAGTCACGCTCATTAATTCCCGATGACTCATATTCGATAATAAATAAAATAATAATAATAATAGAAAAACGTAATAATAATAAACAAAAGAAAAATTTCCATCAAGCCCCATCTACGTCACGAAACTCGTGACACTACCTACGTTATAAATAATGGACTTTTATTAAAAATAATCCCATAATCTATCAAATAATTAATATAAATTAAATTGAATTACTTATTGTTATATAATATCGTTTTATGAATTACTTACTTTCCAGTAAACAGGTTTTTTACAACCCTTGCAAGTTTTTTCTTATCTTGAAAACCGGATAATCTAACGGTTTGTTCAAAAAAGCCTTCGAATACAATAGAACAAATTTGTGTAACTTTTTTGTTTCCATTCTAATATATCTTCGTTTCGATTACCGTATTTACCCAACATATGTACCTGGGTATTTCCCTAGCTCGTTTTAGTACCCTGGGTACACGTGTGGGGATATATTATATGGGTATGTTTTCCCGGGTACAGAAGCATGATAGTATCATACTTAGGTACCCGGGTATAAGTCAAAAATTGGCTATCAAAATCGTTACAGGGTATATTGCACGGGTTTACATCAGTGTTTCGGGCTAAACCTCCCCAAAGTCCGAAACGTTTCGCCCAGAGGAATTTCGCCCGAAACACTTGAGTAAATACGGTACCTACTCGAGATATAACTGATATAACATAAGCCAAATTTTTTCTAAATTTATCTTGACCGGTGTATTAGGGAGTTTGGTATGTGTCAAAAATTAGTTTATAGAAACTTTCGACTAGACAGACAATTGCATCTTAAATTACTTTTCCGATTTGCTTGGTTAAATAGAACTTCTCATCCTTATTAATATAAACTTTGAGTTGCACGAAATGGTTGGATTCTTCAATACGTTTGAACATTCATTACAACGTAAAATTTCAATATTCAATAGAAGGATTTGTGATCTAAAGAGCTATATCTTTATGATTCTGTTGTTATTACAGTGTTGAAGAAAAAAAGCTTTTTTCTTTTTTTTTTTATAAAAATATTACTTATTAATAAATTCGAAAGGTAATTTTCTTTTTATTTATATCAATACAAAATTGCGTCATAATCTTCTAAGTTATTTTCTAGCATGCTTATGGTTATATTCGTAAGTTCAACAAATTCATTCGTTTATTCTTTGACAATTAGAAAATCAATGATCAATAATCAATCTGATATAGCGGGCTTTAAATCTGATTGGATGATCGCCCAGAATGTTTTACAATATGTTTTACATATTAGTGTAACGTTTCT